TGTAAAAGCGAAGTCTTTGTAAGTTATATCCCATAATAAAAATTTGAAATTTGAATTTGAGTCCATTGCCGCACTGCAATTCGGTTGGTTGATAAACTGCGGACGCATAGTAATATATACTTCCCAGTGTATTATCCAGTAAACGATGAATCGTTTATCAGTACAAAGGCGTTCGGACTGAATTATCTCCTAGGTACTCAACATTAATCACTTTTAATTCCGCAGTTGTTTTGGTGTTCGTCCGTAATTAGTCAATCATAACATTCCATTGATTTCTTCATTGATACTTTATGGGAGCTTTCTCAAGTTGCTGCCAAATTCCTAGTGTCAGAATGTATCTGGTTCAACAGCACCTTGTTAATTATGGTGCACGTCGTTCTTTTCAGCCTCCCTAATCTTGACTTTTCGTTTGTTCCCTCCCCCCCCCCTCGTCCTTCTCTTTGTCGCTTTGCTCACGTCGACACGGATAGAACACACAAATTGCTCATGGTCTGGTCAAGCAACTCGTTGCCCATTTGAGCGCACATGAGTCCGATTTCACTTTGCCCGAACGCACGTGTATGGTCCAGGTAGGTCTCCTCGCGTGTGAATACCCAGATACACTGTCCAGTATGATGCTTTCCCACCTCATCTCCATGCGATAACTACTATCTCTGATGGTTTGTATTCTGGCTTCTCTTCTACTCATAGAATTCGATGGTGATGTGTCATAAAAGCGATTGGTGTTGCAAACTAGGACTGTGATAGGCACAACGAAACCGGGATAGTACTTCGATCCTTATCCATAATTAGTGTTCAAATACACTTACCTAATTGTTCATAACACAGCCCTAATCCTTGGTTTCTCATACCTCATTTATTGAACTTCGCCCAAGGACTGCAGTCGAGCAACCCAAAACAACCCACTCCGTGAATCGATGTTTTCGAAATCTTCATTCCACTTTTCAGTCTGACGTAAGATCCGTTGCCTTGTCATACATCGCAGGATTTGCAAAATATACTTTTTCCACCCATCACAATATATGCAACTCAGCCACTCAAGTAACTAGACTACCAATGCTCCCCGCCTAACCTCCATTGTATCCGGTCTTCGGGTAAAAATGCAAAGAGATTCGTACATTGCTTCCTGGCCAGTGTTGTTTCAACATTAATCCTTGCTTTTTATCTTTCAAATATTGCGGTCATTTTAGGACAACTACAATTCCTCAACAGCACTTCACATTCCAAAGATGTTAATCGCATACCAAACACCGTTATAAAATGATAATCAGCAACCTCTGTATATATGATCGAATAGTTTCCCATCGGTGTTTGGTTGTATCCTCCTAGCACGAGGATATTCCTGTTGAAAAAAATTATTCACTGCTAAATTATACGAAGTATAAAAAGAAATTGGTCCCTAACAAACACGAATTTTCGTAATAGGCTCATAGGAAAGTGAAGCATCCGTCCGAACCCGAATTCCTTTATTCGGTATCAGAAAAATGAACCTCTGGATCTATGCAAGGGATTGACAGAGGCGAAATCCGTTAACGGAATTTTTGCGCAGTATTGCAATATGCTCTTCGCGTTTCATAATGATCTGGGAAAAGGCTTGTTTTGTTACTATACCTCGTAAGTTGACTGTCATGTGGGATACCTCTAAGTCCAAATAATGTTTTTTCTATTCCAATAGTTAATGTATAAAAGCACGCTCTGCAATACTAAGGAAGAATTGTGGTAAATGAGCGATGAATAAGAATTGTATATGACCACAACTGTCCCCCTCCGCTCCACTGACGACACGAGTAACATAGTGTGATAATAGACGCTCTTATCGTCCTAATTCGAGCAGAACCACACACACACACACTTTGGTCCCGCAGTTTATTTTGGTGCGACGATTGATCCTCTTATTAGGTTTTATTAAATTTATATGGCGAGCATGGCTGAGGTAGTCGAATACTTTATTACCAGATGCATACCTTGTTTTCGTTAATCACACCTTTGTGTATTGAACAGCAGAGAAGGCAAACAACATGATCACAAGACCCTACTCACGATTGCCGGTAGCCTAAGCCCTGAGACTCGAAGCGAAGAGAACCACTTAAACACTGTCGGCTAAGCGTGACCTCAAGACAAATGACAACAAAGCTGCACTTATTATCACGTCATTTTTTATTTCCTCCACGTCACAATGCCATTCAGTCTATTAACTACTTCACAGCTTTCTTGTGATACTGTACCTTGTCTCATACAGTAGTCATTCCGTAATGCCACGTAAGTTTCATTTTCCCACACCGCGCTACACTAATCTACCTGGTTTCGATGCAGGTTATTGGTCTCACTGTGATCAGTTTGGCCAAAGGCGCTATTGGCCCGGATGTCTTTCACAATTTCAATGCTCTGTTACAAGTAAGTCCCCCCGTCGCTCTTTCTTTGAATGATTGTTGATCGTCTGATGAGTTTGCACTCATACTCATAGGATTAAAATCAGGGGACACAATGTCTTCATTTCATGACTGCGGATTTTTTTCTCGTCCATAAGTGATAACCACGTAACGGATCATAGGAAGTCATCAAGAGTACAATGATTACCGATACGGATAGACACGGTTCGGTCCACTCGCTTGATCGACAACGTCAGAGACGAATTGGGGATCTGATCGGGGCATTCGTTACAGCAGATATTCGGAGCCATTGATCGTTTGACTTACCGTGGAAATACTCACTGCCGTTTGGAAAGTGGACTCTCTATGGGGTGCCTCCAAGTGCTTTCTGTCGGAGCTTACGGTTTTTTTCTCAGGTGTTCATTTGATGAAGGGAGGATTGAAGTGCCCTTTAGTTGTCCTAATTTAACGACTCCACTGAGGTTGCACCGAAAATGGTTGTGTTAATTAAGCAATGATGGTTGGGTGCTTGCCTAAATCCATGAGTGACGGATTGGAGTGTCTTCATTTATGGTCTTAGTGCAACTACTTGCATTACTATGAACTATCATTTTTTATAGAAAAATCCAGTATTACAGCATTGGGTCGATAGATTCGGACTACTGATGAGTTCCATCCAGGCCGAAATAGCTGTCTAGTGCTTCCTAGCTTCTCACCTCACTCTTTATTTGATTTTTGCACGACTGAATTCACCGAATGATCAAACAAAATCCTTCAGTGCGATAGAAATATTTGTGATAACCAACAAGAGCACCGGACAGCTGTTTCATCCTGTTTGGGACTCGTCAGCAGTGCGTACTCTTTGTGTTCCTGTCAGGACTCAAACCGCTAACGTTCGGGTTGGGACTTCAAACCCTTAGCCCTGAGCTACATGGTCGACGGTCATCATCTTGTGCGAATGGCTCAATCAATTATAGAGTAGCAAGCTTGGATTACCCCATTCGATTGTTAAGAGGCACCAGACACTTGTTCACGGTTCCAGTCCTGACAGGGACACAAAAAGTACGCACTGCTGACGAGTCCCAAACAGGGCGAAACAGCTGTTCAGTGTTACCATAAACAATTCTATCACATGTAAATATTTGAGACTATCATCTCCCATCAAATAAGCACATTCATCGAATCTAAAGGACTACTGAGCGACCGCCAGTGGCTCTTGATTTTTTGGGGGGGTTGGTTTCACTCCTTGGTGCCTCTCAACAAACGAATGGGCTAATCCAAGCTTGCTACCCTAAAATCCGATAATCTCATATGGCAATATTGTCTGACTTATGTCCGTGAATTATTTGGGTTCGTCTCAAGTGGTGCATGCTTCAAGATGACTAGCTTGAGGGGGAAAAGACTGAATGCTTAAAATCTCGAAACAAAACCTGAGGACCGGCAAACCAGTACAATATGATGTAAAAATTGATCTGTCCATGGAACAGACAACACATTGAAATCGCGTCAGTGTACTTAAACAGGTGCGGGTTTTGTGTTGCGTGAACTGGTTTTAACCCCTCACGTCTTGCTTTGCGACGGATTATTGTTTATGCAACCATTATCAATATGGTAGTCTTGTTTCTGATTCTGTTGCGCGACGCTGACACCAGTTTTAAGTGGGCACTGATGTCCCGTTACGTAATTTTTTCTTCAGTCTTCTACTAACTTGGGCAGCTCTGTAACCCTGAAGAAATTTACATAATAGATTGGACTTGAATCAGGTATCGTTTGTTTCGTTAAGATTCAGATTAAAATAGGACCATTTCAGTTTTTATTTTTGCATCATTATGCATATATTCACTCTTCTGTTCCATTCCATGCGGGCTGTCCAAATATAACAATCGAAGTCATATATCCATATGGCGCGCTTATTAGATATCGTCGAAATCTTTTGAACTGAGATCCCTATCAACAGTTTGTGATTTTCAGTATTTACTCTATGTTCGGACAATGTGACTTGCTTTGGTTCGATTCATCTAGTCTCGACTGATATATGGCCTTTCGGGGTCGATTTCCTACTTATTTTTCTCTCCCATTTCAAGCAGTATTTATTGTATGGCGCACTTGATTTATTGACCTTCTTTCGAGTCACGTGCCAAAAGAACACTCGAAAATACGCTTTCGGGTGATATTCACCACTGTCCTTTGTCCTCAGCGACTTGATCTTGGCAGGAATTTCTCGCATTAAAAGCACACCCGATTGACCTGATTGGGAAGCAATGCCCGTGAGGTCGGCCGATTTCCAACTTTTTTATTCCACAAAATATTCGGTACGAGTGTGCGGCTAGCGAACTTCGTTACGCCTGTAGTTACGTCACGTGTGTACGATCGCGGATATGCACACCTACCCCACCATGATTCAATGTAACCTGTTCGATGGTCAATGTGGGATGCGGTCCGTGCCAGTATTTTTTAATCTACTTTTCTCACCAGTTGGNCCTCCTCCTCCCCTCCGACATCACCCGAACCACCAGTATTACTGAATCGCACATTGATCTCTCGACGCAGTAATCCAACGAGAATGTGGATGAATGCAGTGGAGTTAGATTTGCACTTGATTCTGGCTGCCTCGTTAAAATTGCTCAACTCTGTATTCAAATCAGATGAAGACTAAATTACTTTCCTCATATTCAATTGCTGCGTGGTTGTGTGTGTTTGTATGTATGCGGAACAAAGCCGAAATGCTTGTGCTCCGAACAAAAACGCGAATTTATCGAAAAGAAATTATAGAACGAAATTAAACTCGATTTTAGTTACCGCACAGAATTAAGGTTGAAGCGATGATGGCTGATCTGTCTGCGTTAGGGTCGTGTGTTAAGTGGACGAATGGTTATGCAGTTACCGAACGAGCCATTGCCCGATATCTCATCCGCCCTGTACCTTTTATTCGGTGTCGCAAGATTGCTGCTGAGGTCACGTGATTGCAGTGCTTGTCCTGTTGTCTTACTCTCAGTTCGTCGTGTAACATCTCGAAGCTCTCGGTGGCTATGATTAGAGTAAGCCTTTTATGATGGGCTTATATAATTTTATAATCTTCCTGCTGTAAATTGTTCCTTATGATAAAATTCACTTGCCTGGAAACAACAATTACGTGAATTCACAGTATCAAGATATCCTGCTAGTATATTCGAATTTTTCTTTGACCATGAAATTGTTATAGATAAAAGCACCTGTTTGTATGATAGAATGCGGGTGATGAGAACACTCATTGAGATGATAGAATACACTTGTTTGAATGTAGCCAGTCAGGATGCTGCTTAAATGGGAATTGGAAAACCAGAGTCCAGACGGGATCGTTTGCGGTGTGTGACTCTTTCGTGTGTTGCTCAGCTATCCACTATTCTCGTGTTGCGTACTGTATTCTCCGCAATCCCTAAAATGCGGCTCCACCATTTTGCACCTGATAAAACTTCTAGCAAGGAAACTAAACCATGAACGAGCTATATATTACTCCCGTAACAATCGTGATCGATGAACTTCCACTGTGGAAAAAAGCTACACAGTTGTAGTCCTTCCCTGCGCCATTAGTTTGTCTTTTATCCGTAGTGCGTTCTTCCTGTTTACTAACCCAATAACCGTTCTCTTCCTACGGATATTCAACCATACGACACACACGCAATCCTGAAACATAGGACTCATTTCACCCAATTACAGAGGCAATGCTCTTCGTAATCCCGCTAACCACCAACGTTTAACCCTTACTCCAGTGTTATCTAAACTCACGAAGTCATTTGTGTCAAAATCCCTAATGAAACACTGAGAATGGTTTAACGTTTCTTCGACAGCTCAAAGAGGGCTCCGGCATATCCGATCCTGTGCTACCAACTTACTTCTTGTCCGAAGTAAATGGAAAAGAACGGTCAGTGAAGGGCAGAGAAACTCGCTGGATGTGATTTATCTGCACTTTTGGAAACAAATTCAAGTCAAATCACGAAACGATTGAATTAGGTACACCACTAGAAACTTTGCAATTGCGGCATTCGAGGTCTCGTGTTTGAGCGCCGCCTAACTTGAGGATACTGAATTTCGTTTCAATACAGCATTCTACTGTACCATACTACTGAATCAAAACTATCCATGTCGTTTGCTGCTGTTGTCGCCCAAAATCCAATTCAGGGGACTTCGAAGATGTCGACTGGAATGCCATCGTCAATCTTTCGCCACCGAAACGTGCATCATTTGAAACACTCCCATCTCACGTCATATATGCACTTGAGGAAACGCCAGCATACCTCACATTCCGGCACTAGTAAAAGCACATAGAACAGCTGAAGAAAGGCACATCATGTGATACCTGATAATCAGAGCAGCATATGACGTCTCTCATTTTTCACAAAGAACGACTGTATTGCGAAAATATCCTATGGGACCATGGAAGCTTGTAGGTAATGCCCGTAATAAAACCTTGACCTTGGCACATTCAGCCCGCATTTTCGTGCTCCGTTTGGGCTATCCCATTTCGGCTACTCATTTGTTTAAGCAAAGAAGAACAGAGCAAGAATACACAAAAGGGTCAGACTGTTAAAAAGACACCAAATGGGGGGGGGGAGGGAGGTTACGCGTCATAAGCTCGAGGGTGAATATTTACAACTTTATCAATATCCCCAACCCTTTCTCGACCGTACTGATTCGGAAGACTCTCGCCAAGAAGACAACACACTCTGCTTCAACTACTCCGTGCCTCGCACGCGAGAAAGCATATCGGGTGACACACTTAACTCAAACGGCATCCGCTGCAGTCAATGATAGTCGAGCGCTCACCTCAGTGCGCGACTAGGATTACACGATATTCTTCTTCGAATCCTGGTGATTTCAAAATGTCGGTAAATTACTGTTGGTCAGCTGCATACGTACAATGACAATCAAAGTTAAACAACAACAAAGGGATTCATGTTATCCTTTTGTTGTTGTTTGACATTGATTGTCATTGTACGTATGCAGCTGATTGAGAGTACCCGAAATAACTAAATTACTGTTAGGTTA